TTTTTTCTATTTTTAGAAATTGCGTCATTTTTCTTTTTTTAGAAATTGCATCATTGTTGCTATTTTTAGAAATTGCGTCATTTTTTCTATTTTTAGAAATTGCGTCATTTTTTCTATTTTTAGAAATTGCATCATTGTTGCTATTTTTAGAAATTGCGTCATTTTTTCTATTTTTAGAAATTGCATCATTGTTGCTATTTTTAGAAATTGCTTCATTGTTGCTATTTCTAGAAATTGCGTCATGTTGCTATTTTAAGAAATTGTGTCATGTTGCTATTTTAAGAAATTGCGTAATGTTGCTATTTTTAGAAATTTGCTTAATCTTTCTATTCATATATATATACAAAATATGTAAACAAACTTATGTGACAAGACAGACCAACTAAATTTATAAAAAGGAAACATTAAGATATGTTCAAACCTTTCTATGTTTGCGTTTAGAAAAAGTAAAAAGTCGAGCGTTGCCCCCACCCGGCGGTGGCTCTTGTTTTTTTTTGGTGTGTTCCTTTTTGGCTTAGTGCCTTCAAAATACAAAAGAAAAGACATATTGTGAAGCATGAGATGACACCTAATAAATGTCTAACAATCAATAATATTTCATAAGCGTTTTAAGTTAAATAAAGCTGCAAATGTTTTTTAGGGCCAAGGTGGTTTACCCATCAAAATCTAGAGTAAAATGAAAATTCTGGGGTAAAATTTATAAAAATAATTTGCATTGTTTTGTTATCAAATTTCATTGCCTTCTAAAAAGTTCCTTTCTTTACATAAATCAGACTGACTTATATAATAAAATATTGATTCAATGTGAAATAATACAAAACTTGCTCTGTAAAGGCAGGCTTCCCTAGACTAGGGTTTGTTTAGGTTACACAGCAAATTAATGACAAGACTCAATATTTTGTTGCTGACATGTTGTTGTTTGAATGTGTCACATTCTTTTATAATCAGCTACATGGTCAGCATGAGGCTTTATTCATACTTTATTTCTACAGACTACATTTTAGTGCCGTTCTTTGGTTTTGATTATTTATAATTGAAATTAGAATTAATGAAAAATAAATATAATAGAATTAAAACTTTTATACACGAAGACTTAGTCTTTGAGGAAATTGTCCGTAACTGTTAACTTGGTACGAAAATATTTAGTACAAAACTGCAGATGGCAAGGGAGAAATATGTTTTCCAATAACTAAAGTGGCAAGTAAACATTTAAGCTCGACTATTCGAAGAATATGAGAGCTATTGTAGTCGCCCCGGCGTCGGCGTCGGCGTCAGCGTCCGCGTCGGCGTCTGCGTTGGTTAAAGTTTTTTGTAAATTCAAATATCTCAATTATTGCTTGAGATATTCAATTGAAACTTACAATACTTATTTATAGTAACAATGTACATCAAATTGACAAGTTGGGTAACTCTGCCTATAATATTTACAGAATTATGCCCCTTTCAACTTAGAAATTTTGGTTAAAGTTTTTTGTTAATTCAAATATCTCAATTATTGCTTGAGATATTCAATTGAAACTTACAATACTTATTTATAGTAACAATGTACATCAGATTGACAAGTTGGATATCTCTGCCTATAATATTTTCAGAATAATGCCCCTTTATAACTTAGAAATTTTGGTTAAAGTTTTTTGTAAAGTCAAATATATCAATTATTGCTTGAGATATTCAATTGAAACTTACAATACTTATTTATAGTAACAATGTACATCAAATTGACAAGTTGGGTAACTCTGCCTATAATATTTACAGAATTATGCCCCTTTCAACTTAGAAATTTTGGTTAAAGTTTTTTGTTAATTCAAATATCTCAATTATTGCTGAGATATTCAATTGAAAACTTACAATACTTATTTATAGTAACAATGTACATCAGATTGACAGGTTGGATATCTCTGCCTATAATATTTTCAGAATAATGCCCCTTTATAACTTAGAAATTTTGGTTAAAGTTTTTTGTAAAGTCAAATATATCAATTATTGCTTGAGATATTCAATTGAAATTTTCAATACTTTTTTATAGTAACAATGTACATCAGTTTGCAAAATCGCATAACTCTGCCTGCAATATTTGCAGAATTATTTGCCCCTTTGAATCTTAGAAATTTTGGTTAAAGGTTAAAGGTCTTCAAAGATATTTACTTGAAACTCTACACATGTACTTAGGGTCATAATTGGAGAGTCATAATTGTATGTCACTGACCAAGTTCCATAACTCTACTCGCATTTAGGCTGATTCATCCTCCCTTTTCTACTTAGTCTCTAGGTCTATGTTTACATGCAAGTTTTACATATCTCAATAAGTATTAAAGGTATTTATTTAAAACTTCACATATGCATTTAGAATTTAATTGTAGGTCACTGACCAAGATCCATAATTCTATCTTGCATATAGGCTGATTTTTCTCCCCTTTTTCAACTTAGAAATTCATGGTAAAGTTTTGCTTGTAAGCTGTTATCTCCATAACTACTGAAGAGTTTGTGTGTTTTTGGGACATTTTTATGCATTATTAATAATAAAGCAGTGATTTACTTGATAAAACATCTTAATAACAAGTCTTTGTACCTTTTCGGTCAATTTTATGTATTCATAGGTAACTAGCATTGTTATACTCAATAAACACTCTTGTGACAAATTTTTGAATAGTCGAGCCAATACTGTCCTCCGACAGTTCTTGTTCTTTATTTTGTTGCAAAAACATTATAATATATGTCTAAACAAATTGAATATTAGGTTAAGTCCTACGATGATTACACCAAATTTAACTTTATCAATAATTTCATTTCAGAAACTCCCAAGAGTTATCTTCCCTTTTTACTCGATGTCACTTCCTGCTACTTTCGTTTTCAATTTACAGCAGTGTTGACAATAGTACTTTTAGTTTTCCATCCAATTCAGCAGAAATATATTGTATTTTCATAAAGCCAAAACATTGCTATCTTGAGCTCTACATATTTCCAATTTTTTCTTAATTTGGATATGAAAAAAGCCCTCGACCAGACGGGCTACCAGCTTGGAATTTTCACTTGACCACCCGCAAATTTACTCGACTCAGTCGTCGGTCGAGTGGGTTAAGTCGAAGACTGCTTGGAGGTTCTGAAAATTTCCGATATGTTTTAATTTCTGATCAGTTTCAATAAGATTTATTTAGCTTTGTTAAAAGAATTAATTTTGAACATCTTGAATGCTAACATATTTTCCGAAATGATATATTTCACAATTATTTTTTATACTCACCTAAAAATTTTGGGGGAGCATATAGTCGCCGGGTTGTCCGTCCGTCCGTCAGTCTGCACTCACAGGACAGTTATTATATGGCTAGAGTGACAATAGGTAACTGTTCTTCCTCGTTGATGTCATTCATTCCGTAATGCTTTTGTGTGGCTATTTTCTTTTGTAAAAAGAACAATAGAGAGAACAATAGAGTAGCCACATAATTACTTTGAGAATGTCCGTCAGACCGCATGTCAGTCCGTCCGGACGTACGTACGTCTCAAATTCGTGTCCGCCCCATAGCTTTGTTATTTGAAGTTGGATTTTACAACGATTTCACAGAAATGATACCGATATTTGAGTTGCTACGGTGTCACACCAGACGGATTTGGTCGCTACCCTAAGGTCAAGGCAAAGCATGACCGTCTGCAGCAAATCATGTCCGGCCTTAACTTTGCGTTTTTGAAGGTCCTGATTTTAAACTATCACAGAAATGATCTCCCATACTGAGGATGACAATGTCCGCGCAACATTGGTGCGCTATTCTGAGGTTTTTATAAGGTTGCAAGCAGATTACTTGCAGCAAATCATCGTCCGCCCATAACTTCGTTATTTGGAGTCGGATTGTTAAAACTGTGTTTTCACGAACAAATGATCACTAATTGAGGATTGATGTGTTCGCACAGCGTTTGGTATCACTACCTTAAAGGTAAATGGTAAGCAGACTTGCAAGAAAATTGGTGTCCGGCTCCATATCCTTCATTATGTGAAGTAACCACGATTTTTACAAACTATGTTTCAAGACAGAAATGGAGCACATATTGGATGAATTGCCGGCGCAAACATTTTGGTATCTACCTGAAGTGGTCAAGAGGTCACGAGCATGACCTTTGCAGCGAAAGTGCGTGTCGCGGCCCAGTAACTGTCGTTCTTGAAATCAAAATTTAATGACTATTTCACTAGAGTATGATGCACCATATGAATCAGACGTTTCGCATGTAACATTTGGGTCGCTAACCATTGATAGTCAGGTCACAGGCATCGTCCTTGCAGCACAATCGGTGTCTGGCGCATAACCTTTGTTCTTTCAAGTCAGATTTATTAACTTAATGTTCACAGAAATGTGACCGATTATTGAGATGATGGTGTCGTGAGCAGTCCATTTGGGATGGCTACCTTGAAGTGATTGTCACATTGCATACGCTTGCATGGAAAATTCGTGTCGGCCCAGTAACTGTCGTTATTTGAAGTCGGAATTTTTGACAACTATTTAACAGAAATGATCACCATATTTAGACGACGTGTCATGCGCAACATTTGGGCGCTACTTTGAAGGTGAAGGTCACAGCATGACCTTGCAGCAAAATCGTGTCCAGCCCATAACTTTGTTATTTGAAGTCGGATTTTACAACTTTTTCACAGAAATGATCGCCATTTTGAGACAATGTGTCGTGGGCAACATTTGGGTTGTTTTTACACTTTGCACTTTGTATGTGACATAACTCTGACACTACAAAGAGGTATACCTTCCTGTGTCCAAAACCTATTTGGGAAGCATCACCCGGTTCAACTGGCTCTTGTTTCGAATAGAAAATTAAGACACAATTATCACAAATTTGCCATGTGACATTTTTGTAAAATATTTGAAAAACGCTGTATAATTCATGATAGCATCTTATATGTAGGTAAGTACCCCAACAATTTTCTACAAAACAATTTTGATAGCTTAACACTGTATATTTATGCATATAATAATGTTGAAACTGTGTTTTTTATTCAATAGGTTCGTCACTATAGAAATACTATCTTTCACTCAAGCAGCATGGAATTAGAAGAAAGTGAAGCAGATACTTACTTAGATGATATAATAGCAGTTTTACAAGATGGTAAGGAGTTATTACAACGATCAGATGCCCAGATAGCGGTGAAGAAACTTCAAGATGTAAGTGTAAATAATGAATTATATCAGTTTGAAATTTTTATTGAGTCAACTTATAATGATTTAAGAAAACAGCCCACTAAATTCAGGACAAAATTTTGGGAACAGAATTTGAAGCAATATAATTTTGAAGTTATAGTCAAATTCAAAATGATACTTCCCATAAGTTGATTGATAAAGACACATACAATACATATATACCTATCAAAAGTTAAACTATAATGAAAAAGATTTTAGTTTGCAATGTTCTGGGTCTCGAAATTCTTTATAATTCTTACCTCTGAAATTGAGGAATTCTAAGTTCTGATATTGTGGTAAAGTTTGGATTATATCAAAAAAAATTAACTTTAAATATCTGAAAATTGAAAAAGCGTATGAAGGATATTTTACTTGAGATAATAAAACCTGCAATATGTTTGTATGATAGTATCTTCTAATTATCTGTGACCCGCATATATCTTGACCCCTTTTAGAACCTCAACATGTCATGCATGTCCAACCCTTAAGTTTGAAATTCAGAAAGTGAGAAATATTAAGAATTCTGAAAACTTCTAAAACTCTTCATTTTTGGCTAACCCCATAGGCTACAATGAAACAGATAAGAAAAAGGTGAGAAAATAGTAATGTCTTAGAATCAGGTAAGTTCATAGGTTAGTGTATACTGCCTTAAAAGGGGATTTAAGAACAAAGTATGAGAGTTTAAATAATAGAACAATTGGGATAATTTGAAATAAAGTTTGACCTTATATATTATATGTTGTATAGAAGAGTCAGTATTATAAATTACATAGCTGCATTTTTTATAATAGAAAATATAACAAAACTGTTTTCTTTTTATCAGCTGAAGAACAAAGATTTTATTATTACGACTGAAAGTTTTGAAGAGATTCTTAGGCAAATCAAAGAAGAAATGGCAAAAGTTTTGAAATCAACGGAAAGTGCTGCAACTAAAGAAGAATATGATGATCTGAAGAAGAAGCTAATAGATCTTGAAGCTAAAATGTCTGATGAAAAGAAGGGAAAACTGGAAAATGAAAAAGAACTTGCAGAACTAAAGAAAACTAGTTCTGCCCTGAAGAAGAAGCTATTAGAACTTGAAGCCAAGATGTCCAGAGAAAATGACGAAAAACTTGAGAATGCAGAATTGAAAAAGAAACTTGGCATCTTGGAGACTCTTGTTTCAGAACAGAAAAAGGTAAAACAAATTTCCTTCTGCTTATTTTCTAAATGATGTATGTCACACTTGTATCTGCATTTTTGCATTAAAGAAGATAAAGATACTATGTTAAGTGTAAGAAAAAACTTGATAATTCAAGTTCTTGTGACAAAAGTATTAAATTTTAGTATCTAGTCAATTAACTGGAAAGGCAACCAGGTTCATTCCATGTACAATAGGTATGAAGTGTGTAAAGCTATATATCTGCTACAGAAATAGTCTGAATTTTTATTTAAAAAAGGGCATAAATGAAGGTAAAGGTCATAATTAAAGGTTAAATATTAGCTGTAATGGCTCATGGTGAAGGTCATAATTAAAGGTTAAATGTTTGCTCTAATGGCACATGTTGAAAGTCATAATTAAAGGTTAAATGTTTGCTCTAATGGCACATGTTGAAGATCATTATAAGGGATTTACCAACCCTTTTTATATTAGGAGTCCATTGGACGCAGGATCTATAAAACAGGGGTCCACCACAAAATTTTGAGGGTCCACTCCCAGACAATTTTCTACCCCCACCCAAAAACTTCTTAAGTCAGCCTGTTTTGCCATTGTTTAAACCGAAAGTTCTGTCATAGATAACGGTAACAACCGAGCGCTCCCACTGATAATAATATGGGGACACGTGGGTGCTCACTAATGATTGGTTGGTATTTTAAATGCCGACATTTACTAGCCAATTAACTGACACGTTACTTTAAATACCAGTTTGTGTTTCCCATGACCTTCACCTTTAGATATCGTAAAAATACGGAAAGGAGAGTTCCTCTAAACATTTTTTATGTATTAAAATATATAAATGACAGTTACTTTAGACAATTTTTCAGTGTCCATGTGTACGCAGAATTTATTTTTTGTGGGTACAGGATGGCATTTTATGCGTATATGACGCAGGATCCTGCGTCCGGTATATCCCTGCATAATAAAAGGTTAAATGTAAGCTCTCATGGTATAGGTCATAATTAAAGGTTTAATGTTAACTCTAATGGCTTATGGTAAAGGTCATAATTAAAAGTTAAATGTTAGCTCTAATGGCTTATGGTGAAGGTCATAATTAAAGGTTAAATGTTAGCTCTAATGGCTTATGGTGAAGGTCATAATTAAAGGTTAAATGTTAGCTCTAATGGCTTATGGTGAAGGTCATACTTAAAGGTTAAATGTTAACTCTAATGGCTTATGGTAAAGGTCATAATTAAAGGTTAAATGTTAGCTCTAATGGCTTATGGTAAAGGTCATACTTAAAGGTTAAATGTTAACTCTAATGTCTTATGGTAAAGGTCATAATTAAAGGTTAAATGTTAGCTCTAATGGCTTATGGTGAAGGTCATACTTAAAGGTTAAATGTTAACTCTAATGGCTTATGGTGAAGGTCATACTTAAATGTTAAATGTTAGCTCTTATGGCTCATGGTGAAGGCCATACTGAAAAGGTTAAATGTTAAATCTAATGGCTTATGGTGAAGGTCATACTTAAATGTTAAATGTTAGCTCTTATGGCTCATGGTGAAGGCCATACTGAAAAGTTAAATGTTAGCTCTAATGGCTCATATTGAAAGTATACTTAAAGGTAAAATGGTAACTCTAATGGCTCATGGTGAAGCTCATACTTTATGGTTAAATGTTACCTCTAATGGCTCATGGTGAAGGTCATTATTAAAGGTTAAATATTAATTCTAATGGCTCATGGTGAAGGTCATATTGAAAGGCTAAATGTTAGCTCTTATGGCTCATGTTGAAGGTCAAACCTTTAGGTTAAATGATAGCCCTAACAGTTCATGCTGAAGGTCATAATTAAAGGTTAAATGTTAGCTCTAATTGCTCATGGTGAAGGTCATGCTAAAAGGTTAAATTTCAGCTCTAATGGCACATGGTGAAAGTCATTATTAATGGTTAAATGTGAGCACTAACGGTTCATGGTAAAGTCATACTTAAAGGTTACATGTTAGCTCTTATGGCTCATGTTGAAGGTCATACTTAATGGTTAAATGTAAGCTCTAATGCCGCATGGTGGAAGTGATACTTAAAGGTAAAATGTTAGCTCTAATGGCTCATGGTGAGGGTCATAATTAAAGCTTAAATATTAGCTGTAATGACTCATGCTGAAGGTCATACTCAAAGGTTTAATGTAAGCTCTAATGGCTCATGATCAAGGCCATAATTAAAGGTTAAACGTTAGCTCTAATGGCTCATGGTGAAGGTCATAATTAAAGGTTAAATGTTAGCTCTAATGACTCATGGTGAAAGTGATACTTAAAGGTAAAATGTTAGCTCTAATGGCTCATGGTGAGGGTCATAATTAAAGCTTAAATATTAGCTGTAATGACTCATGCTGAAGGTCATACTCAAAGGTTTAATGTAAGCTCTAATGGCTCATGATCAAGGCCATAATTAAAGGTTAAACGTTAGCTCTAATGGCTTATGGTAAAGGTCATACTTAAAGGTTAAATGTTAACTCTAATGGCTTATGATGAAGGTCATACTTAAAGGTTAAATGTTAGCTCTAATGACTTATGGTAAAGGTCATAATTAAAGGTCAAATGTTAACTCTAATGACTTATGGTAAAGGTCATATTTAAAGGTTAAATTGTAGCTCTAATGGTTCATGGTGAAGGTCATACTTAAAAATTAAATATTCGCTGTAATGGCTCATGTTGAAGGTCATAAGCTGTGATAATCGCACGCATGGTTTAATATTTAACCAAACATACATATGTACTTAAAGGTTAGATGTTAGCTCTAATGGTTCATGGTAAAGTCATACTGAAAGGTTAAATGTTAGCTCTATGGCTCATGGTGAAGGTCATACTTAAATGTATAATGTTAGCTCTAATGGCTCATGGTGAAGGTCATAATTAAAGGTTTTATGTTAGCTCTTATGGCTCATGGTTAAGGTCATAATTAAAGGTTAAATGTTAGCTCTAATGGCTCATGGTGAAGGTCATACTTAAATGTATAATGTTAGCTCTAATGGCTCATGGTGAATTCATACTGAAAGGTTAAATGTTAGCTCTATGGCTCATGGTGAAGGTCATACTTAAATGTATAATGTTAGCTCTAATGGCTCATGGTAAAGGTCATAATTAAAAGTTAAATGTTAGCTCTAATGGCTTATGGTAAAGGTCATACTTAAAGGTTAAATGTTAACTCTAATGGCTTATGGTAAAGGTCATACTTAAATGTATAATGTTAGCTCTAATGGCACATGGTGAAGATCATACATGTTAAATGTTAGCTCTAATGACTCATGGTGAAGGTCATACTTAAAGGTTAAATGTTAGCTCTAATGGCTTATGGTAAAGGTCATACTTAAATGTATAAAGTTAGCTCTAATGGCACATGGTAAAGGTCATAATTAAAAGTTAAATGTTAGCTCTAATGGCTCATGTTGAAGGTCATACTTAAAGGTTAAATGTTAGCTCTAATGGCTCATGTTGAAGGTCATAATTAAAGGTTAAATGTAAACTCTAATGGCTTATGGTAAAGGTCATACTTAAATGTATAATGTTAGCTCTAATGGCACATGGTGAAGATCATACTTAAATGTTAAATGTTAGCTCTAATGGCTCATGGTGAAGATCATACTTAAATGTTAAATGTTAGCTCTAATGACTCACGGTGAAGGTAATACTTAAATGTATAATGTTAGCTCTAATGGCACATGGTGAAGATCATACTTAAATGTTAAATGTAAGCTCTAATGGCTCATGTTGAAGGTCATACTTAAAGGTTAAATGTTAGCTCTAATAGCTCATGTTGAAGGTCATAATTTAAGGTTAAATGTTAGCTCTAATGGCACATGGTGAAGATCATACTTAAAGGTTAAATGTTAACTCTAATGGCTTATGGTAAAGGTCATACTTAAATGTATAATGTTAGCTCTAATGGCACATGGTGAAGATCATACTTACATGTTAAATGTTAGCTCTAATGACTCATGGTGAAGGTCATACTTAAAGGTTAAATGTTAACTCTAATGGCTTATGGTAAAGGTCATACTGAAATGTATAATGTTAGCTCTAATGGCACTAGGTGAAGATCATACTTAAAGGTTAAATGTTAGCTCTAATGGCTTATGGTAAAGGTCATACTTAAATGTATAATGTTAGCTCTAATGGCACATGGTGAAGAACATACTTACATGTTAAATGTTAGCTCTAATGGCTTATGGTAAAGGTCATACTTGAATGTATAATGTTAGCTCTAATGGCACATGGTGAAGATCATACTTACATGTTAAATGTTAGGTCTAATGGCTTATGGTAAAGGTCATACTTAAATGTATAATGTTAGCTCTAATGGCACATGATGAAGATCATACTTACATGTTAAATGTTAGCTCTAATCATAATTAATAGATCATAATTAAAGGTTAAATGTTCGCTGTAATGTTGATAATTTGGCTTCAAATTTTTACCACTCAGAAATGCAAGTGTTTAAACAAAATTATTATTTCAGGATTTAAATTCTGAGCTGATGACCTACTTAGCATAAGTGATTAAATGGGGCAATTATGGTGGTTATTATGTTAACGTACATAGCTACACATAAACTATCAAGTACATACTCCTATGAATTTTAATTCAACTTCTTAATAATAAATTGTTGATTATTTTTGTACTATAATTATTGGAGTAAATAAGATACGTTGTTTTTGCAGGAGATAGCAAAAATAAAGTCGGAAACTTCTTCAGGTCAAAGTCAAAATTATGAGCAAACCAAGTTAGGTGAGTAAATATTTGTGTTGAACTTGATAGTGTACACACCTTGACATGTTTATTTCTACAGAACTAATTGATGGATGATTACCAAACTTTGTCAGTAGCATTGTTGGGTAGTCTTTTATCAAGTTTGCTCATATTAATTTGATTGGCCCCTTTTAGGGGCCTGTATAGCTAAAAATAGAAAAAAACCTTTAGATATCTTCTTCTACAGAACTAACTGATGGATGATCACCAAACTTTGTCTGTAGCATTCTTGGTACTTTTTATCAAGTTTGCTCATATGAATTTGATTGGCCCTGTTTAGGGGCCGCTAAAATTAAAAATAGAAATATGTTTAAATGTCTATGGCTTCAGAACTAATTGATGGATGATCACCAAACTTTGTTTGTAGCATTGTTGGGTAGTCATTTATCAAGTTTGCTCATATTATTTTGATTGGCCCCTTATAGGGGCTGCTAAAATTAAAAATAGAAATATGTTTAAACGTCTATTGCTACAGAACTAATTGATGGATTATCACCAAACTTTGTCTGTAGCAATATTCAATTGGGTAGTTTTTTATCAAGTTTGCTCATATTAATTTGATTGCTCCCTTTAAGGGGCCGATAATATTAAAAATAGAAATAATTTTAAACATCTTTTTCTACAGAACTAATTGATGGATGATCACCAAACTTTGTTTGTAGCATTTTTGGGTAATCATTTATCAAGTTTGCTCACATTAATTTGATTGGCCCCTTTTCAGGGCCACTCGAGCTAAAAATAGAAAAACCTTTAAACATCTACTTTAACCCTTTCCCCCATGAGCATATTGTGAAAAATGGCCATTTTCACTGAAAAGCCTCCTCTTACAAGTTCAAACTGCTATGAAACTATGAAAAATGCTTCAATACTAATCAAACTTGGCACAAATGTTGACTGGACCATTGCCTTTGTAACGACATGCTCAGTCTTAAATTTCCTGTTACCATGGCAACGAGGGGACATCTCAAAATGGCCAAAAATCACTATTTTGCCTCGATTTTTTCCATCAAAATTTATTTCAAAGTGCTGCAACTTCTCAAGGGATTGAGATAGAGTCAAAGGCTTTTCAGCATTGGTTACACGTTACCTTATGATCAACCTGGGGTCATTTTAAGCCTCTCACAGGTCCAAAATTTTCTTGGCGATGAGGGGGACATTTTTTTCACTGTTTGCGGCCTCAAAAGGGGGGGGGGGAAGCCGTCGAAACACGCTTATATAAGGGAAAAGGTTAAAACCAATTGATGGATGATCACCAAACTTTGTCTGTAGCATTCTTAGGTAGTCTTTTATCAAAGTTGCTCATATTAATTTGATTAGCCCCGTTTAAGCTAAAGCTTAAATGCCCAAGGTCATGGCATTTCTTCAAATTATTGTTTAAACTTATTCTATGCTTAAATTTAATATTAGGAAATATTAACATTCCAACACTGAAAAGCAGTTGTTTCTGGTGAGCCACTCAGGGCCATCATGGCCCTCTTGTTTCTTTTTTAGCTCACCTGTCACAAAGTGACAGGGTGAGCTTTTGTGATCGTTTTGCGTCCGGCGTCCGTCCGTCCGTCGTCCGTCCGTAAACTTTTGCTTTAAATGACATCTCCTCATAAACCACTGAGCCAATTTCATCCAAACTTCACAGGAATGTTCCTTTGGTGGTCACCTTTAAAAATTGTTCAAAGAATTTAATTCCATGCAGAACTCTGGTTGCCATGGCAACCAAAAGAAAAAACTTTAAATATCTTCTTTTAAAAAAACATAAGAGCTAGAGCTTAGATATTTGGCATGAAACATCTTCTAGTGAGTGTCTACCAAGTTTGTTCAAATAAAAGCCCTGGGGTCAAAATTGGCCCCGCCTGGGGGGGGGTCATTGATTTTGCCTATACAGTACGCTCAGCGCGACTTTTTCAAAACCCGCGTGACCCAACGGATGAGGTTTACCGCGGACGTAAAATTTGCTCAGATATTGTCCGCGTGACCCTGCGGACAGAAAATTTTCACCACCGCGGACATAAATCGGCGGCTGAAACCGTTTCCCCCGCGGAACGCAGTGGTAAATTGCGGAGGAACGCGGCGGTCAAACACCGGTCAACGCGGTGGAAACCTTAAATTTTAAAAATTAATTACTGTATTTAAACATCAGTATACGTACTTACATGTACTGTAACATGTACTGTACATATACATGTAACTATATGTAAAATTTGTTTGTTTTCTTTCTTTTTTGTTGTAATATAAGTACATGTACAAATGCAGTGTTTTTTAGCTCACCTGTCACAAAGTGACAGGGTGAGCTTTTGTGATCGCTTTTCGTCCGGCGTCCGTCCGTCCGTCGTCCGTCCGTAAACTTTTACTTTAAATGACATCTCCTCATAAACCACTAAGCCAATTTCATCCAAACTTCACAGGAATGTTCCTTTGGTGGTCACCTTTAAAAATTCTTCAAAGAATTTAATTCCATGCAAAACTCTGGTTGCCATGGCAACCGAAAGAAAAAACTTTAAATATCTTCTTTTAAAAAACCATAAGAGCTAGAGCTTAGATATTTGGCATGAAACATCTTCTAGTGAGTGTCTACCAAGTTTGTTAAAATAAAAGCCCTGGGGTCAAAATTGGCCCCGCCCCGGGGGGTCATTGATTTTCCCAATATGCATATAGTAAAAACTTAAAAACTCTTCTTTTAAAGAACCCAAAGAGCTAGAGCTAAGATATTTAGCATGAAACATGTTCTAATGGGTGTCTACCAAGTTTGTTCAAATAAAAGCCCTGGGGTGAAAATTGGCCCCGCCCCGGGGGTCATTGATTTTCCCTATATGCATATAGTAAAAACTTAAAAAATCTTCTTTTAAAGAACTCAAAGAGCTAGAGCTTAGATATTTGGCATGAAACATCTTCTAGTGAGTGTCTACCAAGTTTGTTCAAATAAAAGCCCTGGGGTCAAAATTGGCCCCGCCCCGGGGGGGTCATTGATTTTCCCTATATGCATATAGTAAAAACTTAAAAAATCTTCTTTTAAAGAACCCAAAGAGCTAGAGCTAAGATATTTAGCATGAAACATGTTCTAATGGGTGTCTACCAAGTTTGTTCAAATAAAAGCCCTGGGGTGAAAATTGGCCCCGCCCCGGGGGTCATTGATTTTCCCTATATGCATATAGTAAAAACTTAAAAAATCTTCTTTTAAAGAACTGAAAGAGCTAGAGCTTAGATATTTGGCATGAAACATCTTCTAGTGAGTGTCTACCAAGTTTGTTCAAATAAAAGCCCTGGGGTCAAAATTGGCCCCGCCCCGGGGGGTCATTGATTTTCCCTATATGCATATAGTAAAAACTTAAAAAATCTTCTTTTAAAGAACCCAAAGAGCTAGAGCTAAGATATTTAGCATGAAACATGTTCTAATGGGTGTCTACCAAGTTTGTTCAAATAAAAGCCCTTGGGTGAAAATTGGCCCCGCCCCGGGGGTCATTAATTTTCCTATATGCATATAGTAAAAACTTAAAAATCTTCTTTTAAAGAACTCAAAGAGCTAGAGCTTAGATATTTGGCATGAAACATCTTCTAGTGAGTGTCTACCAAGTTTGTTCAAATAAAAGCCCTGGGGTCAAAATTGGCCCCGCCCCGGGGGGCCATTGATTTTCCCTATATGCATATAGTAAAAACTTAAAAAATCTTCTTTTAAAGAACCCAAAGAGCTAGAGCTAAGATATTTAGCATGAAACATGTTCTAATGGGTGTCTACCAAGTTTGTTCAAATAAAAGCCCTGGGGTGAAAATTGGCCCCGCCCCGGGGGTCATTAATTTTCCTATATGCATATAGTAAAAACTTAAAAATCTTCTTTTAAAGAACTCAAAGAGCTAGAGCTTAGATATTTGGCATGAAACATCTTCTAGTGTGTGTCTACCACGTTTGTTCAAATAAAAGCCCTGGGGTCAAAATTGGCCCCGCCCCGGGGGTCATTGATTTTCCCTATATGCATATAGTAAAAACTTAAGAAATCTTCTTTTAAAGAACCCAAAGAGCTAGAGCTAAGATATTTAGCATGAAACATGTTCTAATGGGTGTCTACCAAGTTTGTTCAAATAAAAGCCCTTGGGTTAAATTGGCTCTGCAACGTTGGGGGGGGGGGCTATATACAGGTGAGCGACCTCAGGGCCATCATGGCCCTCTTGTCTTGTTCTTCTTCTTGTTATTGTGTTGGGTAATGTATAATATGTATTCGACATCAAAATAAATCATTGTCGTCGCAACTTCATGTTAGTGAGAAACTTGAAGTCAAATAATGAAAAATTCGGCATATGACATTTATGAAAAAGATACTACAACAATTTATATGCCAGCTTTTGTTTCTTATTTAAAAACTTTGAAAACGTAACCCTCAAAAATTTTATTCAGGCAATATTCCAGGATGTCTCTTTCAATTGTCAGATGCGCTTTACTGTTTCTGTTTATTTGCATGTTAAAAATATTTCATTTTAATTTTATCTTAAGATATTATTGTTCATCGGAATAATAGTATTTGTAGACAACATGTAGTTTTCAGTACATACAATTGAACGTAATTGTCTTTGCTTTCTTGTATTTATTATATAAGTTTTCATTGAAATTATTTCCGAGGATAATAATGTAATTTTATAATTTGCAAAAGGCAGCCTAATTATTATTTTATTAATGGGTGCGGAATTTGTTTTTAACGCGGTTGGTGCTTATTATATATAGTTATCATACATCAAGAGCGCTGGAATAATAAACAAGCTTTTCGTTGTCTGTTCAAACAAAGATGCATTTTAGACGTGTGAAAGTCGCATCACATGTGCTTTCTTTAATGTATTATATGTATTGTTTGTTACTATAAATTGAAAATGCTTTGAAGTTCCGAGTTGTTCTCAAAATTACCTAATGGAGCAAATGTTTTTCATTGGCTAGTTAATCTAAATTAAAGATTTATATAAACATATTCGACAGTTATCTCATTCTCAGAAAAAAATCTAGCAATAGCTGTAGTCATAAATTGTCTAAATCATATTAACTTTCTACACTGTAAAATGTCTTCCTAATTAAGACAGTCAACGCGACAAGAGTCGCATTTAATGTAAAAAAGATGACGTTAAAAAATAATAAAACGTCTATTATTTTTGGAGGTTAATTTATACTGACCAACTGACCATGGCGTTCCCCCGCGGGAAACGGGTGACTGATTTTATCGATAAATGAAGAACGGTCGTCAGAATTTTGTCCGCGGTGGAAACAACTGAACACAGGGGATGGCGGGGAAATTAGGCTTCTCATCGGGGACGAACCCCCGCGTTTGTCCCTGATAAAAAAAAATCGTCCGCGGTGGTATCGCGGAAAAAGCAAAACCCGCGGTGAGCGTACTGTATGCATATAGTAAAAACTTAAAAAATCTTCTTTTAAAGAACTGTAAGAGCTAGAGCTTAGATATTTGGCATGAAACATCTTCTAGTGAATGTCTACCAAGTTTGTTCAAATAAAAGCCCTTTGGTCAAAATTGGCCTCG